TTTTTTTTTTTTTTTTTTTTTTTTGATCCAATGTTGAAGAAAACTTCAGTTCATAAGATAATTAGCGGGTTCTTTAGAACTACTGGACACGTGGCTGTTCGGTATGTATTAACTTTAGCTTGACTAATTATATAGTTCTGTTTTATATCGCGAGAGAAAAAACACACACGCGTTTAACTGAATCTTTAGATTGCATACTGTTAGAAATACGACATTGTGTTTGTTCTTGTATTTTGCATCTTATTGTGTTTATAGTAGTTCCTTTTAGTTAATGAACTATGTTGTGATTGTTCTTGTAAGTTGCACGTGTTTGTAGTAGTTCCGCTTAGTTAATGAACTACACTGTTTGTTCTTGCAAGTTGCACGTGTTTGTAGTAGTTCCGCTTAGTTAATGAACTACACTGTTTGTTCTTGCAAGTTGCATCTCATTGTGTTTGTAGTAGTTCCGCTTAGTTAATGAACTGGATATGGTTTATTTTTCATTGTTTTGTAGCAGCAAAATGTTCAAAAACAAATACTGAAAATCGGAGATTAAAACTCTCCAATCACTCGCTAAAAATGGCATGAGACCAGTACAGAGGATAATGAAACTAAAGATTGCCTGCTTCACGAGATTTACCTCGTTTTTATTTTTTTTGGTTTTCTTTTTATTAGGTGACAGGAAATATTTAAACATTTCATTGTAGACGCACATGTTAGCCATAGAAATTTAACAGTTTCAACTAAAGCTTCTTACAAAGATAAAAACGTTCAAGAACTAACAGAAAGGTGTGTTAGAGTAGTTTACTAGCGTTAGAATAAGCTAACAGTATGAAGAGTTTATATACATGCGAACTATTTATATTAATTTCAAGACGTGCACTTGTAAAGTATTTTATACGACTTTCATCCGGGCGATTTTTGTGTGCGTATTTGTGAAGGTAAGAGATGTTTTGGTTTCAGTTTTACATTTTCTATTAGTCGTAAAGCATTTTAATAATGGTACATGATGAGTCAAAGTGTTTTTGTCATGCGATAAACTCAAGAACCAAGTGTTTTCTTTTTTGTAAGATAATGTATTTCGCGTAAATAGATCATAAACATGCTTACATTATAATTGTAGGAATTTCCATGTTTGGAATGACTGCTGGATGGCGAGACCTGATTTACCTACAGGATATGGAGGATGGCAAGCATTTGATGCTACACCACAAGAAACCAGTGAAGGTTATAAGGATTTCGTTACTTAGTTGGTTATCGTTCAAAAGACAAACTCGACTTTAAAATGTGTTGACATCTAAGTTAACAGACACTGAAGCTCTTATGGAATAGGGACGTATATCAATACTTTAATAATTTTATCACCTAACTCCATGTTAACCTGGTGTAACTTCTTCAGAAACGGCTTCTACGATCTAAGATGTTAAAATTCCTCTATTGAAATAGTTAATTAAAACTTCATGTTAAAAACCTACAATTTCACCATAAAAAAAACTATCCTGAAAAACCATACGGAATATCTTAAGTCGATTTTTACCGGATTACTTTGAGTTTGATCAGATTAAATGTGGTTTTAACGCACCATTCCACATGTAAGTTACAATGTAATTAAGTGTGGTCTTGACGCACAATTCCACACGTAAGTTACTATATACTCATGATTTTCTTCCTTTGAGGCCGTTCACATGTTTCAGTTATCAAATTTGTAATTTTTACCCTAAGCAGTTTCACAATTTCCAAATTGTTATTTCTAGGCGTGTATCAGACAGGACCTGCTTCGTTACTAGCTATTCAAAGAGGAGAAATAGGTTATATGTATGACTCCCCTTTTGTGTTTTCCGAAGTCAACGCAGACATTGTACATTGGCAAGAAGATGATACTAGTGAGATAGGCTGGAAAAAGCTCAAAAGCGACCGCTATCAGTAAGTATACCAAACCCTAAACCTTTGGGTTTTGTAGATACTTAGATTAGTGAAATATGTAAATGATAACAGTAGGATTATTTTTAATATAATATGAAGTATTGCCAATAACTTGAAATTGATTTCAATCTAAATTCCAGGTCTCTAAACAATCAAATACATTAATCTTAAATCCTGATCAGTGCAAGCTACTTGTAGGTTAGAACTCAAAATCAACTTTGTAATGGATGTGGTTAATCTAATATACTGTCATTACGTTCTTACTTAACGATTAGATTCCATTGTTTCGTCTGTTGTATATCTTCTCCGTTAGATGTCATTGTTCAGGCTACATTTGGAGTACTGTCTTGGATTCCTTACCTTAGAAAGAACGTTGAATTGTTGGAAAGGATTCAGAGGTTGTCGTAAGAAGTTAGGTTAAAAACTTGTAGTTAGGTCTTGAAAAAGTTAAGGGATCTGACTGAGGTGTTCAAGATTGTAAAGTGAATTGACAGATTTTATGCACCTTTTCCCCTAATTAATTGTGAAGATGGTCAGACTAACTCTCCATAAATCCTCTGATTCTGTTATTAACCAACAGCTAACTCTCCATAAATCCTCTGATTCTGTTATTAACCAACAGCTAACTCCATAAATCCTCTGATTCTGTTAGTGTGTGTGTGTGTGTGTGTGTGTATATATGTGTATGTACCGTTTATTTCAGTAATATTTCAACTACGTGGTTGAAAGCTATCGTGTATGTTGTGTGTTTTTATAAGAATAAGTACTCCAGTGACGGTATACACACATCTTCCTGCATAATGTGTTTCGTAGATTAGATAATTAGTGTTATCAACGTACTCCTAAGTGTCTCCATTGATTGCATTTGGTAGAGTATCTGTTATTGAAAGATGAGTTTCTTCAATATAGTCTATTGAAAAATTGTAGAATGGTGACGTTTCAGTTCACTAGAATCGTACTTTTCCGGAAAGAAACCGTGGAGTATACGTTGTTATTTTATTGTATTTCTTTGGGTTTCATTGTCTTGTATTTATTTAACAAAAGTGCGCCTAAAAGCGGTTACTTTCTGGTTCTTCTTAGTATTGAAGAGCCTCGTGTGATGGAGGTTAACTCGGCAAAACTGTAAATAAGGGGTTGTCTTTGTTTACAATATTTGTGCGAAGCTCGCCACTGCTACGTGCACTAGCCGTTCCTAATTTTCAACTGATAACACACAGGGAAGGCAGATACTGAGCAACACCCACCGCTAACTCTCGCTACTCTAATTGAATAATGTGATTCGACCGTCACACTTATAACGCATCCACGATCTTAAACTGCAGAGTGCGAAATGTTAGAAAACGTGACACGCTAACCAGTTGACCAGGGAAACAGAGTGGGCCAAGCTTTTTTTTCAGATTCTATCGTAATGATGAAGCTATGTTATTGTGGTTAAGATCGGAACTTTGTAGTTTGAATACCTTAGTCGTATTAAAAGTTTTTTACATTTTACAATTTTCTGTCCTATGTCAAGTTTGAAGCTATAGATCTTGTCTGAATCATTTTCTTTTAACAGCTGCCAGATGGCTTTTAGCCACCTGGCATTTATGCTGTCTGGTTATTATTATTCTTTTTGGTCGTGTCTGTTTTTTCTTATTTTCTTTCTCCAGTTTATTTGGTATTTTGATTTAACTGGATATGCTACATGGATTGTCTATTTCCTTTTAATATTATTTACCGTATATTTTTCTTCGGTGTTCATTACCAATGAATGTTCTTGAGGGAATTCCTCGCGCGCGCACAATCGCGCTCGCGTATGAATATAGTGTACTTTGACGGAGTCTACTGCAGTGACCTGATAAAATTTAACCATCTAATATGTATTTGTGAACAAGAAATAGTTTCACCTTAGAACGCCAAC